TCCGGGCTTTGTAAGAAGGGCTCGTGTATAAAGGCTGCTCCTCTGGAATCCCAGCCTCAGACACCAGCAGCAAGGCTCCGGGAGCTGAGATCTGCTGGCTGAGGGGCGGGGGTCCCTCTGGGCGGGGTGGGCGCCCCCCCATCCCCGTGCCCTTCGCCCTCCCTCCAAGCCGCTGCCTGAAGGCCTGACACCTGGTCCTCTGCCTCGTGTTTGCTGTTTCTGTTTGGGTGGCAATTAACCAAGTCGATTGAGATAATTAGTGGTTGAGACACAGGGTGGGTGTGACAGGAACACTTAGATCGTGTGAATCGTCCCCGTGACGCCTTTCACAGCTGTGGGTGAAGCAGAAACTTCAGGGTCTGTGTGCAAGGGTTCTGAATCCCTGTCCCACCACGAACCAGCTGTGTGAGCCTGGATGTGTTTCTTAACGTCTCTGAGCCTCAGTTCTTATTTTCATCTGCAGCGAGGGCAAGGTTAATCCCCTGCTCGCCCCCGCATGGCATTGTTGGGGTTTATCGTCATCCCACTGCTACCTCCTGGTCCAGCTTTGTCAGCTGGGAAAGCGGCAATGGAAAACCCCACTGACCGAGGCTTACATTTTAGTGGAGCAGACAGACAACATGGAATCAGCAGGTAAATGGTGTCACATGTTAGAAAGACACAAAAGCCACAGAGGTAGACAGGGCTGGCCGGGGAATGAGGCTTGAGGGGCTGCGCTTTAAATGGGGTGGTAAGGAGGGAATCCCGGAGGAGGTGACATGCGAGCACAGTTGAAGGTGGAGAGGCGGCCAGGCAGGCAGAGCTCGGGGAGGGCGTTCCCGCCAGAGGGAGCAGCCGGCACAGGGGCCCTGGCAGGGTGTGGGGTGGGCGCTGAGACGAGCAGGGGCGAGGGGAGGTTCAGAGGCCTGGACGGCTGGACAGAAGCCCCGGCCCTGGCTGGAGACTAGGCAGGCACGGACAGCAGGGAGGCCCCTCAGGAAACGTGCGGTGACGGTGGCCACAGAGGACGGGCAGGGGGACCGGGCGCTTGCCCTGCGGGTGTGCAGAGCTTCCTCTGTTTGTTTCAGTGTTTGGCCTCCAGGAAGGTTCCTGGCTCACCAGGTGACCACCTGCGCTCCCAGCCTCCTGGGCAGCTGGGCCACATGCCGGGGTTTGACAGAGGTGTGTGAGCGGAAGTGGTGGGAGTTGGGCAGGGCCCTCAGCCCTCCCCCTGCGGCCCCACCTCCAGCCACGTGGAAGCAAAGCCACGTGGAAGCTAGACCGCGTCTGCAGCTCGGGACCTGGGCGTAAACTTGCGCCGCGTCTCTGGTACAGAGCGTGCGCGGTTCTCACCATCGGGCGGAGGCCGTGGAGGCTGCCTGCTGAGCCTGCAGGGTGCCAAGCCCTGGTCCCGAGTGGCCATGAGCCGGGCCAGGGGAGAGCGTGCCGGGCACGTGCTCAGTGAGCCACGAGGAGCGGGCAGCCTCCCCTCCCTCGCTCGGGTGATTTCTTATCCCAGCCGTGGGTGGTGTCAGGAGGGGCCGCCCGTTACCTGCTGTGAGACTTTCCTGTCTTCCTCTGCCTTCCCGGGGCAGAGAGTAGGGCCAATGGAGCAGGCAGGGCTGGGCCGTGCTCTTCCCCGAGACGGGGGCTTGGCGTCTGTGGTGGGTGAATGGCAGCCCCGGAGACCTCTGCCTGGAAGCTGTGAGGGGTCTCAAGATGAGATCCTCCTGGAATTAGGGTGGGCCCTAAATCTGATGGCTGCTGTCCTTACCCGAGAGAGGAGAGGGGAACTTGAGACACAGACCCATGGGGGGGAGGCTGCGTGGCTGGAGGGATGGGGCCACAAGCCAAGGGCACCTGGGGCCACCAGAAGCTGGGAGAGGGAGGTGGGACCCTCCCCTGGAGCCCCGGAGGGAGCGGGGCCTCAAGGGCTGTGAGAGAATGTGTCTGTTGTTTACACCTGGCCTGCGGTCCTCGTTACGCAGCCCCAGGAAACGAGCGCGGCCTCTAGTTGGTGTGAGCTCTAGCAGGCCCCGCCTTCCACGCCTCCCGTGAAGCCAGCCCCGCTTCTTAAGCCCCTCCTCATGGGCCCCAAAGTGGGTTCTGCAAATTCAGGCTGGAGCCCCGAGGCATCAAGGCCACTCTGCGCAGTCGCTGTCTGGGAGGAATGGGCCTTGATGAAGCCAGCGCCACTTAAACTGGGCGTAAGGCAGAACGTTTAGGCTGAAGAAGGCTAGACAAGAGGCCAGAGGGACCCACGGAGTGAAATCCATGCCCAAGACTGAGAAACACCCAGTTGTATTTGTCAACAAGACTTTAGCTTGAAGTACTCGTGCCTGCCAACTTACCGCGATGATTTAGCCCAAGAAAGTGTTTCTGATGTGGAGTGCAGCCTTGATTTTAATGGTGAAGAAACTACAGGAGGAAAATCTAAATGTCTAATAACTGGGGCAATAGGGAAGTGAATTAAGGCCCATCCTCTCTGCGATAAGAAATGACAACTTTTGGACTTCCCTGGTGGTGCAGTGGTTAAGAATCCGCCTGCTAATGCAGGGGGCACGGGTTTGATCCCTGGTCCGGGAAGACCCCTTCCACCGCAGAGCAACTAAGCCCGTGCGCCACAACTACAGAGCCTGCACTCTAGAGCCCGCGAGCCACAACTAATGAGCACGCGTGCCACAACTACTGAGGCCTGTGGGCCTAGAGCCTGTGCTCTGCAACAAGAGAAGCCACCGCAATGAGAAGCCCACGCACCGCAACGAAGAGCAGCCCCCGCTCGCCGCAACTAGAGAAAGCCCGCGCGCAGCAACAAAGACCCAACGCAGCCAAAAAAAAAAAAATCCCACAACATTGTAAATCAACTATATTGCAATACAAATTATTAAAAAAAAAAAAAAAAGAGGGCTTCCCTGGTG